TAATAAATTTTGCTATAAATAAAGGTTTAAAATTAGCAAATATTTATTTAATTAAACTTTGTAGTTTAATTAAAAAGATTAGAAAATCAGTACTTTTAATTAAAGATTTAAAACATATTGCAGCATTTTTTGATTATAAATTTTTACATCCAATTATTGACTATAAAACCAGATGAAATTCTACCTTTAAAATAGTAGATCATATACTTATTTTATATATTGACTTAGAATTTCTTATTATATGACATCCAGCATTATAAGATTTACAATTTACTAATAATAAATAGGCAATTCTTTTAGTATATAAATTAATATAAATTTTAATTTTTATAATTAAATTAATTATTAATTTTAATTTAAATAGGAGTTATATAATTGTTTAAAACCATTTAATACAGCAACAGAAATACTTTCAAAATTTAACTATTCAACAATTGCTGATTTGTGATTTATTATTCTTGGTTTACATAATTATCTTAATACTTATCATAATATTCAGCAAAATCTAAATTTGATAACATATAGAATTAAGAATAAGTTAGATGAATATTGGCCAATTATGCAAGAAACTACTAAGATTGCCACATTTTTTGATCCATATTTTAAAAGAATAGTTTATTATGAACAATCAGTAGATGAAATATTAACTCTAATTCATATAAATCTTTTAGCAAACTCTACTACTATAACTCAACCTTCTTTAACATCAAAGCATTATCAATTTATTCAAAAATATACTAATACATATATGCCAATTATAGGTTCTAATTCTGATGAGCTTATTTAATATTGGGAAATAATTGCACCACCAGAAGAAGTTTTTGTTTGTAATTAATAAAAAGCTAATCAATTAATATTTTCAAATCTAGCATCTATGACTAAAGATTATTTGTCTATTATGGCAACAAGTGTTTTATGTAAACAACTATTTAGTTTAGCAGGTCTAACAGTTACTAAGACATAAAATTTTCTTAATAATAATACTGTTTAGACAGTATTATGTTTAAAATCTTGGTTTACTAAAAATTTATAATTTTTTTTGTTAAACTAATTACAAATCTTTTTTTTTTCTATTAGCAGGTTTTTTTTTATACATAATTATTATATTGTATATATTGTAGATTTATTATTATTTTATTCAAATTCATATATATATATATATTTTATTTAGTATTTATTAAGTAATTATATTTTATGAATAATGATAGTTATATAAATTTTGGATTTGCTATTTACAATTTTATTATTTTTTATTTTTTATAAATAAATTTTATACATATAGTTTTAAAACTTTTTAATTGTTATTCATATAATTAAATGATAAGTACAAAATTAAATAAATTCATTTAAAGTATTGATTTGTTACTTTGACCTCAAATTAATTTGCAACTTTGAATTGATAAAAAATTTGTTTTATGCTTTTTTTCTTATTAATATATCTGCATAATAGTATATTAACTAATAGTTATAAATTGATTAGTTAAAACTTAATTAGTATTAAATATAATAACTTATTTTAAACCTATTATAATATTGAGAATCCAAATAATGTTAACAAATTTTGAATAAATTTCACTAGACAAGAAACTGCTAAAAACAAACAAAGATGCTATCAAAGATGCTTGGTGTAATTTTGTTCTTAAAAAGCTTTATATACAACTATTGTTTATATTAGTTTGGTAATAAAGATCTTAATACTTATTTAATATAACAGGAGGAACCATCAATGTTATACATTAATCCTTCATGAGATATAGTCAATCAATAATAAAATTATTTATTTTGAGTTTACTCTAAAATGCATGTTATGAATATAATCCTTCATCCTGTCATTCATATGAGGTGATTAGTTAAACTGAAATTATTTATATATAACTTCAAGTGTAATAGATATAATTCCTCATTTAGTGTAATATTAATGGTTTCTTCTGTTATTTAATATATTATAAAAGTTAGTAGTCCAAATTAAATAACAGATAAATACTATTATTTAATTAATTAGTAAATTAAATATAATGCTTATTGAGATCTTATATACATTGTTATGAAAATAGCAGTAAAGATAAGTATGCTAATATTTTAAAAAAATTTCACTTTAACTACATTAGATTTAGTTGCAATAGTTAGTATTAATATTAATAAAAGCAAATTATTGAATGAGGCTCTTTTATAAAATAAATGAAATTACTATACTATTTTTAATATAGTTTTTTGTGCATTAGAAAAGTTTTTTCATGTAAAATTTTTGTAAGTCTCTAACTTAAAAATAAATCTACCTAATTTAGAAAAATTTTTAGTTTGGTAGTATTAATCAAATAATTACAAAAAAAAATAAAAAATTGTTATATGTATAATATAGAACCATATAGTTCAATGATCCATCCTAAAAAAGATTAGATTGATCTGATCCTTGGATGGATCAAAGGACTGGCAGTTTGAGTTAGACTGATTAACAGCCCTATTATAGAGTGGATGAATTGATAATTGCTGGCTATTGTTATCCGGCTAAGTCACATGCCACATGACATGGCTAACCAAATAAGGGTGACCCGGCTAGAAAAATCAGAATCGTCAGAAAGGACCGAAATGTAGGAAAAGTCCTTTC